CTTGTACTTTGACCCAGCAGGATAACAACTAGTTCGTATGTCAAAGCTGCATAAGTAGAAGCTATATTTACTTCAAAGTTGTCTGATATTAAAGCATAAACTAATATATGAAAAAAATATTGGGTGAAACTCTGAGACATATTTAATGGGGGGCCATCTGTAACAGTATACCTGTCAATGCATTGCAGGTTAGACCAGTGGTAGAAACTGGATATGAGAATGTTTTACTTGTGAGGCTGCTGTTGGAGATGGCAAATCCTTCCATTCGCAAGTCCTCAGTGAGTGCTTAGAATGAAAGCATTCGTGGTATTTTAAAAGGAGAAACTTAGTTTGTCAATTTCATTATTGCATCTATCTGGACCTAATATTTATGGCTAACTGTACAAGGTTGCAGAGGGACTTACAGTAGAGGGAATTCTGGAAAACTGGTCAAAGATAAAGCCTATTATCATGGAAGAATGGGATGAAAAGAGGGATCCTCTGATAGATCTTTTTGGTAAGATCAGGGATGAATGGATGGACAATGATTTGGCCACTTGGATTGGTGCTAATAGGTAAATTTGCATTTCATGTTTTTAGGACAAATCTCGACTGATATATGCTCTTATTAGCGCTTAGAATTCCTAGGACTTGATATTGTAACTTTCCATATATGGTGTGTTTGCATACACCAGGGCTGCTATCTGCTCCCATACATTACAACATGTGACTAAAAAAGAACATATATGTGTGTGTGTTTGTAATTGGTGAGCACAACAGAAATCTCTGCAACAATGAACGTATGTCCAACTAGCCTTCTCCTTAAACATAATCGGGAGTCCAAAAAAAAAGGTGAAAGAAAAGTTGCTCTCATATGTGTCTAAGCAAAGCTTATTCTATTGCTGAATTCATTTTTACTCCCAAATTTCAGAAAACTTCAGTTTCACTTCAAGGAAAATTTTAAAATAATAGGTACAGGACAGGTGTGAAACCTATCTTAAGAGCTACTGTTACTTGTCACTTGCCAAACATTGAGAAAGATCCGATTCTTCATATTCATAAAATTGTCAGAAATAGTGTTCACATGATACTGTTAGAGTTCTAAAGCACCTTAACAAGCAAGTTCTTGAAGAAGAAGCAAACTGGCCTCAGCATGTTCATTTGTTAAACAACTGTGAGCTTAAGCTGTTACTTAAGTTCCATGGTCAATTTCCCTGTGAGTGAATTTAATCCCAATCGCTTGAAACCAATGCATGACTAGCTAGAACTGTTTTCAACTACTATCTTATATTTTTGTGAGATGGTTTATCAGTGGTAAATACTTCTGCTGCAGGTTTTATCCTGGTGTTCCTGATGCATTAAAGTTTGCAAGTTCAACGGTCTACATTGTCACTACCAAACAGGTTTCTTCCCCAACCTTGAATTGGAAATAACCACTACAAAGCTCAGATGTGGGAAATTCAAAAAGTTTATTGCTGATTTTGTTTGTTTATGAGTCTTTCTTATTCTTACTTTCACTTCTACAATTCTCTTCTCATCACTCTGTCTTCAGAGCCGTTTTGCAGGTGCATTACTTCGAGAGCTTGCAGGGGTAACTATTCCACAGGAAAGAATCTTTGGTCTAGGGACTGGGTAAGCGTTCTACAAAGCTAATAATATTGGTGAAAGCAATATGCCAATTCTCTTAATCCAAGATATGAGTAGTATAAAGTTGCCTTGATATAAAATTTGCCTGAGTTTTCTTTTGCCCTCAGCCCAAAAGTAGAAGTGCTGAAGCAGCTTCAAAATATGCCAGAGCACCAGGGTCTGACATTGCAGTAAGATATTTGGCTGATTGTAAATGTTATTAGCAATCTTTTTGAGCTGTACAACCCTTTTTTTTGGGTGACTCATTGTTCTTAACTTGATCAGCTTTGTAGAAGACCGGCTAGCTACACTGAAGAATGTCATCAAAGAGCCAGAATTGGACAACTGGAACCTGTATCTAGGTGAAAATCTTTGTCAGTTTTTTCTTTATGTTCCTTGCGTTTACCTCTTCATTGGCTGGTTATGTTGGCCTGGTTGTGAATCAAATTCATGTGAAGCAGGAGACTGGGGATACAACACCCAAAAAGAAAGGGAAGAAGCTGCAAGCATACCCAGAATTCACATACTTCAGCTCTCTGACTTCAGCAAGAAGTTAAAATGATTATATATTCCTCCATAATGCATTGGTTATGAGGAGAGAGCGCTTCCAAAATTTTGGTGATAGATAATAATTAAATTTTTGAGAAGCAATTTCCATCACTACTTCTCTTGTGGTGGCTGAGTTATATCAATTGTAACCATTTTTTTAGATTATTAATTGACTAGGCCATCGGAGCTTTGATAGATACAGAAACTTCTTAATCAAATCATCTCTGATATATTTGTCCACACAATATATGATATCTCTGTGTTCATATACTTGTTAGAAAGAGCTTCACGTACTTCAGTCATGGTTGCTATCCGATTGATGCAGAAGATTATGAATTCATGGACACAGGATTACTTGTTTGTAGAGTAAACAAAGCTACCTCTGAGGTCATTGAGATGTAAACTTCTGAAATGAAGAAATCAGGCAAGCATATGTAATTGCTGTATGACTATCCTTTTGAAGGTAATGGTAGGAAGTTTACAAACTACCAGTACAACCTTTCAGGTAGAAGAGTCATAAGCTCGTCATGAGAACTTCCTGAAAGGCTACAATCAGCTGCTAAGAGTCAAAAAAAAGTGCATAGCAGATCCCTTTGTGATCATAGCTCGCTGTGCTTGTCATGGTCTTCACCAATTTTCTCGCTCTGGTGCTTGCTGAAAACCTCGTCGAAAGAAGGATCACCAGGTCGCCGGAAAAACTGATCTCCTATCTTAACTTCGTATGCGTCTGGTTGACTTAATATAAATTCTTTCAACTGCAATCATAGACAAAACAAGAAATCAATTTCTTGAACCTGATCTTCTACTTTCTATGTAGACAAGAATAAAATGCAAACAAAACCAGACAGTACTAGTAATAATCACCAACCTTTTAACAGGTGAGATATTATCATATTAGAAAAGGAGAGCGGCAAGAAACTAACCTCAATGGCGTCTTGACCTTTTTCCATTGTGAACATAATCGTACTGACATCAACCCCCATGAAATTTGCCTCAATTCCTCCGGTCCTTGCCACCTTACTCCATTTCATTGCAATTTCAGATACCGTATCCTTCAAGATTAAAAAAAAATTAAATGAGCAAAATTAATTAAAACCCCTTGAAAACCTCAATCATGAATGATTGCAAAAAGAATAAAAAAAGATTTGGCACGATGATGAAAGTGTTCGAACAAGTTGCGTACAGGGGTCCGACGAGGGCCGATTCGGAGCTTGGCGAAGCCGAAAACGGGTCCGGCTTGGCGCTTCAGCATTTCAGACTGCATTTCCGCGACGTCCATATTGGAGAAATCGTCAGGGGGCGGATCGAATTGGGGTCTTGTGGTGGATTTCTTTTTGCCCCATTCTTTCCAGGCCTCGTCCTCCTCGTCATCAACGACGTCGTCGAGGTTGTCCGTGACGTGGATTCTCCGCTTTGCTCCCTCGGCTAATCGGTAAAATCCCCCGGTTCCGGTGGCAATCAGGAGGACGAAAATGAGAGCTAAAGTGCCGCTGAATCCAATCTGCGCCATGTTAATAACAATCACTTTGTTTGGATTGCTAAATCCGATTGAGAAATATATTCACAAAAAACTTAAACGAAAAATCACAATCCAAACAATCTTGATGCTTTCCGGCTAAAAATGCAGGGTAGATTATTAGAGTAGAGGAAAATTAGCTGAACTGCATTTGGATTCTAAATAGTACTCCCAACTGTTAACTGAACTCCAATTCTACCTTCCGAACTTTTACTGATTCATTCAGACGAAAAGCTGAAATCCCTGGTTTATGCTAAAAACAATTAGGCCCATGTAAGTAGTTTTTAGGAATATACCAAATTACTGGAAAACGTCCAGACGTCGCCGGGATTTGGGCCAACTTTGTCAAAAGGTTTCACCCGATAACAATTCAGCTTTTAATCACCGTTGTTTAATGTTGAAATTTTTTTTTATAATTATTTGTAATATAGGAGGTGCATTTAAAAAAAAAAAAAGAAGAAATAGTACAACTTTTGGGAGACGTCATAAAACTTTTTTTGTGCATTTACTTAGCTGTGACCTTTTTTTTTTTTTTGGGTACTATGCAGGGCTAGAGGCCCATTAGCTCTTTTAGAGGGTGTAACAAAGCGAGGAATCGACATTATGCAGACATCCAGGCCCAAAAGCTCATTTACAGTGTGTGGCCAAGGGGACTCCTGGAATTATTTAAGATGTGTTTGATAAAATTTAAGTCTAAATATTGAATCTAAAATTTGAAATCTATTAAATTGTTAAACACTAAATATAATACAAGTGAGTATAGGACAGTGCTACAGTGCCTATAGTTATGGTAACGATGGTAGGGAAACCTACTATTACAGGTTTCTATTGTCTTTAGTGACAAATCGAATTTTATAGCGACTTTTTAAATATTATATTAAAATAATTAATATTAACTTTAGTAAGTTTTTAATTAAAACTAGTAAGTATATGCCTGAAAGATAAGTTTGAGTCAAAAATGAAAATTTACTCTTTCAGTAATTTAATTTACTTATTATTTGACAAATGTTACTTTTGTTTAATTTAAACTTACTAATACTAAAAGTAAAAAATTGACATATTAAAGTAAGAAAATAATCGGTTTCTGAAAACGGTTTGGTTTCCGCATCTCTCTAAAGTTGCTTCCCTTCTTTTTATTATCTTCTCACCTCACGGAAGATAGCACAGGTCGATAATGACGGATTCATCTGCTCCCAACTCGAGCCCGTGAACCTTCCTGGCTGCTGCAAACTCCATCCACCGGTCGATAATGGCGGATTCATCTGCTCCCAGATCAAAACACACCCTGAATTGTTCAATCATCGGGCCTTGATGTGAAACCACCACTTGATTCACCCAGTCTACATATTTCCTCTGTTCAATATCAAACTTCAGCTCCCACCACTCCGCCGACGACCGAGGGATAGGTAAGGTTTCCGATGGTTCCGCCAAGGTTTACCCACCGTGCGACGTCAAGTACAGTGAGTACACACCTTGCGAGGACCCCAGAAGGTCGTTGAAATTTTCAAGGTCCCGGTTGATATATAGGGAGCGGCACTGCCCGGCGAAACACGAGTTACTCAAGTGTCGGATACCGGCGCCTTACGGGTACAGAAACCCGTTCAAGTGGCCGTTGAGCAGGGATCTGGCGTGGTACGCCAATGTGCCGCACAAGGAATTGACGGTAGAGAAGGCCGTACAGAACTGGATACGGTACGAGGGCGATCGGTTTAGATTTCCTGGTGGCGGGACCATGTTCCCCAACGGTGCTGATGCCTACATTGATGATATTGGAAAGTTGATCAATCTCAAAGATGGCTCTATTAGAACAGCTATTGATACCGGCTGCGGGGTAACTTTGCCTACTCTTTAATTTTTCAAGATTCCCTTTTTTATTTTTTTTGGGGGAGAAGAAGGGAGGGGGGGGAGGAGGAGGAAAAAGCAGGGACAATCTCGTTTAAATGGTTTTAATTGTGGGCATGTTTCCAACAATCTATCCGCCTCCGCCTCCGCCTCCGCCTGTTTGTCTGCTTGCATGTACTCCGCTTTTTTAATGGATAATTTTGCATTAATTAGGCTTGATCAAAGATTATGCGGATCTAATCTGTAATTGTTGTTTCGAGGATGGGGACAAATTAGGAGGAATGATTTTGATATCTAAAGTTGGGGTTTTGTGAATAAGGGATACTTTAGGTGAGTGGCTTATTTAGCCTTTTGTTTTTCCCCTCAAAGTACATGAACTTGAAAAGCAAAATTGAGTAGCTTCCTTGTATGGCTAGAATATTGACTGATGCAAGTCATGTCTTGTGGACTAACAACTCACCGACTGTCTGATGCGTCGAGGCAAAACAGATTGATAAAAATAAGAGGGGGGTCGGTTTGTCAGAAAGACAGAAATTGTGGGTAGGGTCAAAGACTGAGGGTAGTAAGGGTACCCGAACCAGCTTTTTTAGATCTCAACTTGCGGGAAGGAATCAGATATTCTATTTGTGGATACGAAGTCCATGCACAAACTCTCGAAGACACATGGCAATGATGGCATTGTATGCTTGTCTTCACATTCTTCAGTTCTTGAACTCTTCAAGAAAAATCCATTTTCCATTTACATTCTTCAGTTCTTGTCGTTAGAGTTGATTGAATTATTTGGGATATAATATATATAAAAAATCAATCAAAATTAATAACTACATGTTTAAATATATATATATATATACATATAATCCAGAATCTGGATAATATTCACGGTCGTCTTACGTTTTTTGTGTTATGATATAAATGTACTAGGTTGCAAGTTGGGGAGCTTATCTTTTGTCCAGAAATATTCTTGCAATGTCATTTGCACCGAGGGATACACATGAAGCCCAGGTGCAATTTGCTCTGGAGCGAGGAGTTCCTGCTTTAATTGGAGTTCTAGCCTCCAAGAGGCTCCCTTATCCTTCTAGGGCTTTTGACATGGCTCATTGTTCTCGCTGCCTCATTCCTTGGGGCCAATATGGTAATTTCGAATGCTACAGGAGCTGATAATTATATGATTTTCAAGCGTTCTGCACAAGGATCAAGAAGAATTAGGAATTATTGGATTTACAATTGTTCATCATGAGATACCGAGTTTATATTTTAGACTAGCGTGTTTTTTGGAAATTAATTTGTTGGGGATTTTTCTTGGGCAGATGGGGTTTTCTTAACTGAAGTTGATAGAGTTCTAAGGCCCGGAGGATATTGGATCCTGTCTGGTCCGCCCATCCGCTGGAGAAAATACTGGAAAGGCTGGCAGCGGACAAGGGAGGATTTGAATAAGGAACAAACTGGAATCGAGCAAGTAGCTAAGAGCCTGTGCTGGAAAAAGTTGATCGAGAAGGACGATATTGCTATCTGGCAAAAACCAGCTAATCATATGCAATGCAAAAAGCTCAAGAAGGTTTATAACAGTCCTGCATTCTGCCCCAATCAAGATCCTGATAAGGCCTGGTTGGTGTTTCTCTAAGGATGATGAATGATTAGCAGAATCTGGAAATGCAAAAATTTATCGTACTTCTTTTCAATATCAAACTTCTTTTCGTCACTCCAAAGAAGCACTCTGGTCTCCACGTCATCAAAGTCCAAACAACCCCCGTAAGACTTCCATAGACTGTGAAACCGGCGGGATACAGCACTTGTCCTTGCAGCCTCTTTCATTGACAAGTTTGAAAATATATCCATCATAATTGTATCCGGCAAGGTACTCGTCAGATCCAAAACCATCTCCTCCATTCGCCTTCAAATTGATACTCTGGCGGCAGACCTAATCGCCTTCCGATTCTGTTTCAATCGGACTTGCAACAGTTGCAGCAGTGCGACGCAGTCAAACTAGCTGCTTTGTTAATGACAGTTAAAGCTAAATATGCTTTATAGATAGCACAGGTTCAGGAGAAAGGGTTTCCCCCCTATGCAATTATTGATGATACGGGTACACCTCTATCTAATACTATGTATCGATCGTACTTCGAATTAAGAAATTTAAAAATGCGGATTATATGCATTACTGCACTTTTTTATGATAATTATTGTGTAGTGTTTTACTGAGTGATCTCATCTTTAAAGCACAATGATTTTGATGCCAGATTTCAATTTTACTGTTACAAGTAGCGTCTCCTGTTCTGCTCTATGATTTGGAGTGAACTAATTTGTCGTCTCCAATCATCCATTGCACTTATTGCAAATCATTAGTCACTGTTTAATTAGCAAAATTTTGGTTGTCAAATCGGTTTTTAAGAGCCAGGGGGCGCACATTAATTGGATCAATATGGAGATTTCTCGGCAGCAAGTTTTCATCACATGTTAGTATAGATTTTTCTATGTAGACTGTATGCCAGAGAGTGATTGTTTTAGTTTGAACTTTCCTCCTCTTGGTGAAATCCTTAGAATCTGCAGTTTGTTTGGCTACAATTACATGACTGGTCGATACACCAGCACTTTTTTTTTTTTATGTATCCTATCAGACAACAAGGATTCTCCCTCCAATATAGAGTTGAATCTGTGAGCCAGCTTAATCTGCATCTGCTAACCGACGATTTTGTGCCTCATTCCAGGTGTGGATTTTAAGATCAAGCTGCTCACTGTTGGTGGGAAGAAGTTGAAGCTTACAATTTGGGATACCGGTAAGCAGATCCTATCATTTATAGTTTTGCTAACTGTTTATGGCAGCTTTCCAAATTCTCTTTATGAAGTTCTTTTGTGCAAATATGATGATACACCTTTACTTTTAGTTGTTTTTTTTTCCTATCATAGGCTCAAGTGGTAAATCTCTTTGGACATAGAACTAGCTGTAATTTCACAAAATACAGCAGGACATTTTGCGCTTTACCTAGTACAAGTCAAATGTTTGTACTTTCTCTACTGTTCTCAACATGCCGTGCCATCCTAATTAACATTTTCCCCAGAAGTTGTTATTATATGTAAATCTTCTTATCTGTCAGAAGGTTTTGTCTTGCCATCGCAGCTGATCATGCAACTTCTTCCTCCTTAAGATTAGAAACTGACAATCAGTCCTACTTCACCATGATCAGACCCAATTTGGGTTTGTATTCCTCTTTTTCCTAGTGCTGCTAATGGAAATTTATTGTTGGGATCCTTGATTCATGACTTAAAATAAGCTTAGCCTCCTTTTTCATAAATAATCCAAGCTACTACTTTCTGATGATAGTACGCCCCTCTGGCTATTTATTTTCACTATCCTATTACTACATATTTTGTTCTCCGTGATCTGATGGGGCTCATGACACCTTTTGCAGCTGGACAAGAGAGGTTCAGGACCTTGACAAGCTCATACTACAGAGGTGCTCAAGAGATCGTTCTTGGTATGTCATGGATAGATCACTATAGATTCTTTCATATTTATGAAGCCTTTTTGTCATCCTGCAAAATAAGTTATTCTTTTAAGACGTGATTGATAAGATGAGATTTTGTTTATTTAATTGCATTATCATCGTTCTCGGATTTCTGGTCAATTTATGGACTACTGTTGCTTAGAAAAACAGAATACACATAATCATGCTTTTAACTTTTGAGCATTGGCCATTTTTTAACATTGCTGAACTCTATGCAAAATTTGCTGTTTCTCTTGACGGAGAATTTATTTGATCATTTTCCTTTTGCAACATGGTTGGTAAGGTTCCATCATGCATGTTTCTTTGTTTGCTTTAAGAACAGACTGCTGCCATCCCAATTCACAGTCCAGAGTTTTTCCATTTTGTGGGAGACTCTTCCCAGTTGAGTAATATGAAGTTGTCCATAGTAGGCATTGTCTATGCAGTCAGTTGGTATTCTGCCCACAATATTGTACGGTACTGTGAAATTATTGGGAACAGGAAAGGTTAAAAATGAGGTAAGCATCTAAGCAGTTTGAAAAGACAGGCAGTCCAGAAGAAACCATGTTTACTGAAAGTAGTTAGTAAATAGATCTTCAATAGCGTAGAGATATGCACAATGTCAATGCTAAATTGACATAGAAGTAACACATTCAATATCTGAAAAAGTAACCATAAAAAGAAGAAAACAACAGAAGATTAATGGTATGTACCTCTGAGTAACTAGTTGGCATCAGTCCTAAAACAGTCAAAACATTCCTCAATGCCTTCTCCAGAGCTGCAAGGGACTCTAGTCTTAGTTCTTGTTTCTTTCCCTGAACAAAGAAAACAAAAGGCATCTCATAGATGAGACAAAACGAAGAGAAAACAGTTATCAGAAAATGTATCTCAAAGTAAAATTAATGACAGTTAATGAGTAAAGCATAAATTCCAGATTTGGGATGGACAATCTAGTAAGAAGAGAATGACGTGTAGATTGGGCATGACAGAGGTATTTGAAATATTTGTGCATGTTTATTAGCGGGAAACTTAACTAGCTTTGTGCAGTTTTTGCTGAGTGAACAAAGACCAAGCAAATTAAAGAGGGTAGGCAAGGTTATAATTTTCCAAAGTTGATTTACATTTTGAATTGGACAGAATGCAGACCAAAAAGCCTCTGATAAGTTACAAAAACCTTGATAAGTTACCGCATTTATTAGTGAATATTCAAGTTTATAAAAAAAAAAAGTAGTTCAGTGACTTAAAATGACCAGCCTTCAGATACTTGAAACATTGTTTCAAAGCACAGTCATCTACAAATCCATCCATCACTCAAGTGCTTGGGAAACAACAAATCAGATTTTGCTTACTTGTGGATGGTAAGCATGCTTAATATACGAATATAAACATCAAAAGTGAAAATAATGTCTTATTGTATTAATTCTGTAAGCATCCTGAGTTATAGTGAGTTATAGTACTTAGAGAATTTTTTTGGAACAATCATTTTCATAACCATCAACCAAACATAAAAAAACTACTGCCAAACTATTACTCAGGAATGATGTCATGTATAAAATATTCCAATAGAAATACTCTTCAAGAAACATCAAGAAAATGTTTAGAAAAAATAAAGCTGAGTATTCTTACGGTAACTCTTGGGCTAAAGTCAAATTACTCCATTGGAGCAAAAGTACCTTGCGAGTATGAATGAGATCATTGATTGTTTTCAGAGGGTCCGACATTGCAGCCAGAACAACAGGAGTGTGAAGATCATCCGACATCGAAGTCAAGAAGTCATCATGAAATTCATTGATGCAACTTGCAGTTGCTGGTGGATTAACATTTTTCCAAGTTGCCTCATCATCTTCACCCAGAACATTTTCACAATCATATAATGACTGCAAACAGTGAAAAACAATGTCTAAAACTAGACAGACAATTTGATGTAACAAACAAAACAATTCAGACACAAAAATAAAACAAAAAGAAAAGAAATCAGCAGGCAGGAGAATCCAGTATGTCTCTCAAACACTAGGGATCACAAATGGAAATCTCTGTGAAACAACCCAATACAGGTCTTGTAAACATTGCTGAAATCGTTTGACTACATTGCTGTAATTTATTTATATTGCATTTGTTTTTTTGTCAAGATTTTCTTGCGAAATCAAGGCTGAGAATTTGAAGATTTTATTGCAATTTTGGGGCTGAAAATGTCCGTTGAAACATCTAGGAAATGGTTGTAGTTTTGATTGTCTACGGGTAAAATATGCTTAATAGCCATATGAAACATCTAGGAAAGGACTTGAGACTAGACGTTTAAGTTAAATGTGATTAATTTGTGAATGCATATAAGATGTTTGGTGAAATGTTTCATATTTCACTGCATTTGGTCTTTGGCACTCCATTTGTTGTCAGGAGAATTTCACTTTCAGTTCTTTTCATGTTATTAATTCTTTATTTTATCCCTAACATTGAGGACAATGTTATCTTAAGTGTAGGAGAGGGGTAGAAAGGTTAAGTGAAATTTATGATTAAAATTTTTAAAATTTTTGTCGATTTCCTGAAAGGCAATGGCTTATATTTCAAGTTTTATTACTGTTAGGTTTGTATTTGTGTATGTGTTAAGCGTTAAATGGTGTTACTATACAGCATTTCTTTGGTGAATATTTGGTATTATGAGATCTTTTCAATTTTGGCTAACTTTTCTAGGCATTGTAAATAATTTTCTAGCATTTTTATTGTGAATTTGGCCTAATTATCAATCTTAGTTCCCCATATTATTGAGATATGAAGTATGCTTTTGTATTAGGGTAAAAAACAAAAGAGCCACCTGTGGTTAAGCGAATATACGAAAAAGCTCATTGTAGTTTTGAAACATACAATTCAGCATCTCATAGTTTGAATCAAATTGGAGAGGTGATAGAAATTGTCAAAACTAATGTGGATAGACAAAATGACAAAAATATCCAGATACATATAAGGATAAAATGCAGAAAAATCCCCTATGGTTAAGCCAAATTACAGAAAAGTCCATTGTGGTTTCAAAATATATAACATTTATCCCTGTCATACATAAAATAGTTGTTCTAGATTGATTAATATCTGTATGTGGGATAGCACCATAATTACAAAAAAAATCACAATCATCCTCTTTTGATGGCTTTGTCGACCTTGACAATTTTTACTTTCGCTTTTCATGAACACTTACAAATCTTATACTAGTATCGTAGGGTCTAGTTTTGCCTGTGTGTCTAACAAATATCGAATGTACCCTATTTGGAGCTTCAACAAAAAGATTTTCTTGGATATTTTGTAAGTCTAGCTGTTAAAAGTTTTGTTATTGCATTAGTTTAATTTATGTTTTGGCATCAGGGATTCAGGATCACAATACTTATTCAGTTAATTCTACTTTTTGTAAGAAATTCAGTTAATTCTGGACCTCCCTACCCTGTGATGCTCGTGTTGTTGATCTGGCATGATATTATATGATTCTTGTGTAGCTGCTTTGACATGCTTGGGAAGCTTTTCTACTTGGTTGTCTAATAATTTCCTTAATAATTCTTCACCTTCTTTATTCTTTTCCTTAATAATTTCCTACTCATTATTTGAGTTTGTGATAAGTAAATCTAAGATTTTTTTCCTTTTCAAAATGCTTGTTACTTACTATTGTTATACTACTTTATGCAGACAAATGCTACTATGTCAGATTTTGTGCAAAATTCACAGCTACTAAGTGGACTCAAGAAGGATGAAGATAAAGCTTCTTTTTTGGCTCGTGAAGTATTTTGGAAGTTTTTATGACTTTTGAGGCTCGGATGCTTTTTGTAAACTTGATTGACTTTGCATGAACAATTTGGGTTACACAGTACCACTTCTATTGTAGTATTTGTAGGATGACGTTGAACTTAAACATTATATTTTGGTCCTTTGTAGCATAATGGATGCTTTTAGCTATTAATTAGCAGGCCTTTTATGGTTCTGTTGATTTGATGAATTGTTGGATTCCTTTTTAGTATAATGGATGCTTTTAGATATTAATTAGTAGGCCTTATATGGTTCTACTTTGATGTATTGTTGGATTGGTTGCTTTTAGGACAATCGTTTGTATCAGGTTTCATAGTGACAATATATTGTTACTAATCAGATTTCTCCACTAACAACATAAAGTTGTCACTAAATAGGGTGTATAACAAAAAGGTATATAGTGATGATAAATGTTGTCAGTAAAGAGCCATTTTTAGTGACGACTCTAAAGAGTTGTGAGTCACCAATCAATACCAACGGCAACTATGAAAAGGATTTTACTGACGACACTACTACGAGCATCATTGATAAGGTGAAATGTCGTCACTATATATGTATTTATTATTGACAAAAAATATTGTCACTAATGAATAACATTTACCGACGACATTTAATGTTGTGACTGTGTACCTTTACCGACAGAGATTCACTGACGACTTTGTGACAACTAAAATGTTGTCAGTAAAACACGTTAGTGACGACTTTTACATTTTCTGTAATAATAATCAGTTGTCACTGATGACCAAATTTTTTGTAGTGAATCCCGCCAAAAGGATGACAATGGATGGATCACTTTTCCTTTTATCACAGGTATATCCCATAAGTCTCGCAGCAAATTAGTGTTTGTCATATGCACTCAGGAGAATACCGCTTCTCTCTTCAAATATAAAGCACATTTAGTGAGCTAGGAGAATAGCAAATATAAAGCACGTTCTTCTGCCTTATAAAGTACTTGGTATTCAGCTAGAAATAGCCAAGATAAATTAGAATTTTTTCCCAACTACGAATACTTTTATTGTTCATCTTCTCTGCAAATGATCTTGTAGAAGAAATCCCCATGCATTCTTACGGTGTAGGACCAATTCCATTGCAATGTTAAAACGTTCAGTCTCGGATTGAAACTGAAAAATCATGACACCATAATAGAATTAGTGAGTTAACCATGCAAGTAAAGATAACGGTACCAATGACATTTAAAATTATTCACCACAAAAAACTCATATTAAATTACAAAACTGTACCATGAGTGAACTCATTTGTTCCACTTCAGATGACTTCATGAAATTAATAACGTATACACCACAATCATAGCTGCATGTAAATCAATCATCACAATAAATGAGGGAAGAGATTCCAATGCACTGCACAACAGCATAATTAATGAAAGTTACCCATTCGGCTGTTTAGAAATGTTAGCAGATTCATCAACTTCAAATAACGATGCCTGAAACTTGTACTTATCCCCAAATTTGTGCTGTAGTACAGTATCAAGATCTTGCACCTATTATCCAAAAATAAAATCGCGATTGTAACACAAAATGTCCATATCATTATTTGCTACATAACTTTAAATGATACTTACTAACTTTCTAACCACAACACCTCGTTGCTTTGTTGAATTAGGCAACGAATCCAGTATGTACACTTTCTTTTCAACAAAGTCAACTAGTGTGCAATACCAATGTTGGTTTTCTTCATTTATTGGGACAAATATCTACAAGAACATGTAATTACTTAATAAAAATTAGTTTAAAACCCAAAAAATATGCATAAATTGTAAACATTATTTAATGAACCTTCTCACACATCTCAATGTCTCCTCCATATCTATCAGCATCAAAATATATTGAAATAGTTGTAAGGTCAGATTCAGCATTTTGTAATTTGCACTGCACAATTTTACCAAAATTTACAAAATTATCAAAAAAATATGAATTAATGACAAACATAACCCGTTAATGATATGTCAACCTACCGTAAAGAAAGTTGGCATGTACCATGTGTTATATGTTTGATCTTTATGGTTCTCCTCAAAGTCTATCCGAAGCATGTTTGCAACAAGATTGATTGGCTGCAAATATATTACAATTCACCTTTACCCCGTACAATCATCACATGTTGGATGGTATATCTACCTTCAAAAATCAAGTTTTTAAGCATTAGAAAACTCACACTTTCAGTAAGCCAGGTTCTCGGTTTCAAGCATGCCAGATCACTTCTTGAGGCAAACTCTTGTCCAATATGCACAATTGGTTCGCTGCAAATAATTGTTAATTGAGTCTACAATTAATAACAATGCTAATGCTAAAATAGTTGTTATGAAAAATCCAATATTGTGTTGCTTAAATATATTACTGCTGATTATATTTTTCATTAAATATGTAGTCCAGGATTCGCGCTTTATCATTGGAAAACTGCTGCAATATATACTTTTCGGCAAACATTCTTTCTTGCCCTGCAAGCTGTTTAATAAACCATATGAAATGTAAAAATTATTTCAAATATGTATCATAAAGATGTAATATGTTAAATGTATCATTTGAAATGAAACAACCATATTGCATACCTTGTCTTCAATCGGCAAATAATTTTTGAACTCTGACTGTTTATTGAGTTTCCTTTTCTTAGTTGTGTTATTGCTAAGACTTGAATCTGTGTTCTCCATATCATTGGCATTATGTTTGATACCTATATCATCACATAGTTCCATAAGAGAGGCAAAACTTGAATATGCTCTTACTTCCTGTTCTTCACACGCAGTGGAAGAGTCTCCCATATCAACTAGTTCCTTTTTATCGCCATCAGAATAATCCCTCAAATGATCAAACAAGTCATCAAGTGGGACGTTTTTATTGCTCTTCACAATCTGCGAGTCAACAAGGGTGTTGTGATTTTTCCTAACCATGCGCATCACTCCTTTTCGAAAGTCTTTTAACACACCATATTTATCTGGAGGGGACCCTAAATGTGGCACTTTATAATGATTAGGACCAAATAGTGTGTCAAGTGATTCTTCTTTACGTGCAACAGGTGAGCGATGGATTTTCGGATCCATTTCTTCATCCACAGGACCGCCTTTATTTTTAATGCTAGAGTGACTACCACAAGTCTGCCTTTCATTGCAATATTCTATATTTTGCAAGTCATCCTTATTATGCAATGATGTCTCCTTCTTAAATTGACCAGATTGCACATGCAAATCATTTTGCATCGCAATCATAGTAGACAACTCATAGACCGCCGTTGCAAGATTGTCAAGTTTGTCGTTAATCTTCTCCAATCTGTCATCAACCTTGTCAAATTTTTTAGAATAATGTTTATCCAAAATGGGCATAATATCTGCTATGTAAGCCATTGGAGAGGGAATAGATGCGTCGCTGTCATCGACCATAACTTGAATCTATACATGTTAAATTAAAGCAAATTATCACTACCAACATATTCATATAAGAAATTATCATTACTAGAAAATGCTAATATAGGCATGAAAACATAAAACAAGAATGAACAAACAAAAAAATATAAGGATATGGTGAACTATAAATTCATCAATTTATAATTAATTTTAGCATGCAAACTACATAATCAAACATAAGTAAATCAAGAATTTAAGTATATATACACTTAATTTGTACCTTATCTAGGCCATAAATTCCGTAGTACGAAGTAAGTGAATAAACCTTCAGTTTTACTTCTTCATCACTCCAAAATTTAACTCGAGGACGTGACTTGTTTGCAAAGGGTTCAAATACCAATCCTTGCGGAGTGACACGATCCAAATAAAAGAGCTTCACAAGTGAAAAAATGCATAATAACATTAAGAACATTTAGTAATACTACAAGACATGAGAAAAATTAAAAAATGCTCACCATAAGAAAATAAATACAGCCACGCAACCCAAGCTGATTCTTTTCACGCTTCTTCTTCACAGATGTGATCAACTCTTGAAGAATCATTTTACTCCAATTGATATTGCTAAGATTGGAAACATCTTGCACAACTCGAAGAAAACCGCGCTTAACACTTAGTCCGGTAGTTGGACATAGGATAGCTCCCAACATGTACAAAATAAAACATCTTTTAAAATTGTCATCACAGCTACCATTACTTGACAGCAACCTTGCCTTCAAATTGCTAAGCGTTAAACCAGACTCTTGAAAACCAAGGTCAATTGACAATTTTTTAACATCATCTGCTATGCATCGATTTGTACTCACGTCAAACCCAGTACAACTTAGACCTAAGACTATCTCAACATCTTTTGTAGTTATTGGAATGACCTTTTCATGAACATTCAGTGTACAATTTTTATAATCAAATCTATTTATTAACCATTCACATAAAGCATTATGAATGTTCTTGCACCTAATTTCAAGTAAGCTTCCCATGCCAATTCCCGTGATTAAGGTTCTTTGTTCCGGAACTAGATTTTGTATGATGTCATGTACGCCTCGGAGTGATGTTCTGGTTGGAATAGTTAACTGAAATACGCAGCACAACTATGATTAATCTCTAACATCAGATATTATGGAAACATAGCAATAAGTGATATCTTTAAATTCCATCACCAATGCCACATATTTCAAAGAAAGATTAATAACCTAGTTTAGTAGATTGTATTACAAATTTCTAGAACAATAAGTAATTTTATAATTCATATCATTACATTACCTTGGCATTGTCATCTTTATTGTTTGCAATGTAGTCAGCTTTAGTTTTTCGATGACGCTCTTTGTATATTGATTTCTTTGTAGGGGATAGTGAATTCCACTTAATTCGTACAACTTTAGCCTACATAAAAAACAATAATAATTATCAACATACTTCCATATTAATCAATAGACAGTACAAGAAATAAGATTGTCGATAAAACCCAGAAACAAAATCTACTTAATCATGTAGTACTATAACTATGGGTACTTGGCCACGAGAAGTCAAGTGATTATATATTTATTATAAGTAGTGCTAAGTCTTTCTGCCTTTCTGTTTACGTTTCATCCATAAATTAATATTATCATATTACCATTGTCAAAAGATTCCATACTACAATTGAATGGTCACTCAAGGAAAAGTAATCACAAGAATATTATCAGCAAATTAAGGAAACATGCGGATACGACAACAATTATTAAACTCTTTATGGGGTGCGTTACCATATTATATCCTAAGCCAATCAATATTAACCTCCTATTGCAATTATGGGGTGCATTACCATGAACGACATCAATTATGCTACACTTCTAACCTCAGCGTTCTATTACAA